GAGCCGCTCGCGCGGGGGGAGAGGAGAAGGGGGAGGAAGGGGATGAGGGGGAGGAGGAGGAGGAGGAGGAGGAGGAGGAGGAGGAGGAGGAGGAGGAGGAGGAGGAGGAGGAGGAGGAGGAGGAAAAGGAGAAAATGGAGGAGGGGGAGGAGGGAGAGTATTGAGGGGGGAGGGAGAACAGGGGGAATTGTACAAACTAGGTGCGCAAGCGTCATATCTGACGTCCTACCCCTCTCTCCCATCCCTTACCCCTGCGAAGATCCCCTCTCGGTTCGCACAGTCGGATGTCGAACAGGGCAATGATCCCGAGAGAAAGAGAGAGAGAGAGAGAGAGAGAGAGAGAGAGTACGCGATGCATGGTATAGCACGGCAAAGCATGGCATCGCGTCGAGAACGCGATTCATTCCGACAACACGTTCAGAGGGAAACCAGAAATTACGCAGGACGGGAAGTGCAAATGCACGGTTCGGAAAGCGTGAAGCGCAAACTGAGATCAGCGTTGCATTTGGAACACGATTTCGAAGGACCAACACTTCGGACATGAGACCAACGCTGCAGTTGGAGCACGATTTGGAAGGACTGGAAGCGCGGAGATGAAGCCAACGCTGCAGGTTGTGCACGATTGGGAAGAACCGAAACCATACAATGAGGTCAGCGCCACAGCGGGAACATGACTTGGAAGGACTGAAACCGGGAAAGTGGAACCATCGCTGTAGCAACACATTAATTATCGATTCGGCGGCATCCAGTGTAAAAACACCACGCGGAGGAGGCCAGGACACCTCCCCGTCGCTTCGGGAGAGAGAAAGATAGAGAGAGAGAGAGGATAACAGTGTTCTTGCTGTGTGATTGTTAGTGTGTAGGAGTAGGAGGGTGACGGGGAGGACAAGCAGGAGGAGAAACTGGAGGATCAGGTGGAGGAGGCAAAGGAGGGGGGTATCTGGAGGCAATGGGAGCTGGCGCAGGAACATGATGATATCAGGACGACGAGGAGAGTGAGAAGGAGGAGGAGGAGGAGGAAGAGGAGGCGGAGGAGGAGGAGGAGGAGGAGGAGGAGGAGGAGGAGGAGGAGGAGGAGGAGAGGGACGAGGAGGAGAAGGAGAAGGAGGAGAAGGAGGAGATGACAAGGAGGAGAGGAAGAGGAGGAGAGGAGAAGGAGAAGGAGGAGGAGGGGGACGAGGACAGGGAGGACCCGAGGCAGGAGCAGGAGGAGGGTGAAGAAAAACAGGAGGATGAGGAAGAGGATGAGGATGCTGCTGCTGATGATGATGCTGCTGATGATGATGCTGATGCTGCTGATGATGATGCTGCTGATGATGATGCTGATGATGATGACGATGATGATGATTATGATGATGATGCTGCTGATGATGATGATGATGATGATGCTGATGATGATGATGATGATGTTGATGATGATGATGTTGATGATGATGATGCTGACGCTGATGCTGCTGATGATGGTGGTGGTGGTGCTGCTGCTGATGATGGTGGTGATGGTGGTGGTGGATATGATGATGATGATGATGATGATGATGATGATGATGATGATGATGATGATGATGATGATGATGCTGATGATGATGACGAGAAGGAGGAGGAGGAGGAGGAGGAGGAGGAGGAGGAGCAGGAGGAGGAGGAGGCGGTGCATAGTAAACCCAGGATGCATCAACGATGCTGCAGAATGCCTACCGTCCCAAGCCCCCCGTCAAGCCGTGCTTTTCACTATGAGCAGCGCCCCCCGTCAAAAGACGATCACCCCATGAACCTGCCAGTCGGGCAGGCGAATTCAAGTGCATCTTGCATCTAAGTACTAACGTTTGTGACTCGGTCGGGTTATAACTTTCAGCGATGCGTCAAGCGAACGCACAGTTTTGAAAAAGAGCCGCCCCAATCACCGTAACTGAAGCGACAACCCCATTTGGAAAAAGGAGTCGCTCTCCTCCTCGGCAGCTACAGTCAACCCGCGGAGTAAGGATGCGCAACTTGTCCTAGATTACCCTTGCACCCTTGCCCCTTGCATCCTTGGGGTGCCCTTGGGGCGGGCTTGCCAAGGCCCTTGCATCCTTATCGTGCATCCTTACTCCGCGGGTTGATTCTACAGTACCGTTTTTAATGCATGCTCCGCATGCGGATCATGTATTAAACATGCAGGGATTTAGTATTAAAAGCAACGATGCGTTCATGCATAGCTTTATTCATACATTAATCATGTATAGACATTCCGATATGTTTTGAATCCTTTGTATTAAAAATTGCCCTGTACTGCAATCGCTTCAAGCCCAGTCGAGATCGACACACTTCGGAGGAGCCGTTCTCCTGTTTGCAGCCTCGCCAGGCGACTGTGTGCGGCGCGAGGTCGACGTCCACGGTGTTTGGAACGCGCCGCCCTCCATTCGGCGGCGAGCGAGGGGGGAAATGAGAAGGAGAAGGCCTTTTCAGAAGGCGGCGGGACTTCTCAGAAGCCATCGCGCCTTCTGAGAAGTTTTCTGTGTCTTCGGGGAAGGCCCAGGAAACTTCTCAGAAGGCCGCGGAACTTCCGAGCCTTCTGAGAAGGCCCGCCCCCTTCTCAATTCCCCCCCTCGCTCGCCGCCGATCCATCCTTTTGGCTGCTGCACGTTTTTTAGACGAGTACGCGCGGCCCTCGTAGCTGTGGCTTTTCGGACGGACGTGAGCGGCCTCTGTGCGAGAGCCACGTTTTGGAAACGAAGCGACGCGCTCTCCATCCTTGCATTCCTGTTGCAAGCTTTTGAAGCGCATGTGCGCGAGAGCCCTATCTTGAAAAGAAACAGCCCCCCCAACTTTGTAGCAGCTGAGGGATTCGAGCTCCCGGGTCATAAGCGGCCGGGAGCTCTCATACCAAATGCCTGCCCCGCCCTATCGACACCTCTGGTGGTGCAGCAGGGGCGGTTTCCTAAAAGGAGCATGGGTGGAGGAGGATCGGCAATATCGAACTGCGTACGGAAAGATCAGGGACGAAGACCAACAACAGTTCCTGTCCATTTTGAACAACGCTCGCTGTCGGTGTCGCCGCTGACATTGTCCATTTGAGGCACACGGTTCCCAGCTCCGATGTGACCGCTGATGGTCTTGGACGAAGTGTGCAACTGGGCACTGTGCAAACCTTCTCCGTGCATGCTTCGGACGTGCCAGGAGGTGGGGGAGGAGGAACGGAGAGTTGGAGGAGGTTTGGGGGAGGGGGGCAGGGTTGGAGGAGGGATTCCGGAGGAGGAGGATGAGGAGGAGGAGGAGGAGGACGAGGAGGAGGAGGAGGAAGAGGAGGAGGAGGAGGAGGAGGAGGAGGACGAGGAGGAGGAGGAGGAGGAGGAAGAGGAGGAGGAGGATGAGGAGCAGGAGGAGGAGTAGGAGGAGGAGGAGGAGGAAGAGGAGGAGGATCAGTGTAACTCCAAGGGTCATCAACGATGTTGGAATCCACAATTCTTCCAAGCTCACTCTTCATAGGCCCCTGCGACGGTGAATTTCCACTGAGGGAACTGTCTCGTTGGAAGATAGCCATTTGAAGACCCTGACTCATGGCACAACATGGTTCTCGGGATAACAACGCCACGGGTCAACCTGACTGTTGCGTCTTGACGATCTTGAATCGCACCAGAGCGCCATTCCTGGGGCTTCAACACCTCGAATCCACGTAACTGCTGCACCAGAATCCTGAATCCTTCCAAAGCACCGTTTACTGGTACGCGGATCATGGGAACCCGTGAGACTTTACATTTTTTTGTAATGAACGTGCGCGGCGCCAAGGCGAAGGCCACATGTTGAAAAGGGCCCGCACATGTTCAAAGCAAATTTGCGCGGCGCTAAAGCGAGAACCACATGTTGAACACGACCCGCCCTCAATCCGTGAAGCTCTTGCACATTCTTAAGAACTAATTATGTGCGCGGCGCTAAGGCGAGCGCCACACTTTGAACACCACCCGCGCTCAGTCTGTGAAGCCCTTGCAAATTTTTAAACCGATGGTGCGCGGCGCTACGGCGAGAGCCACATTCTGAAAACGACCCGCCTCCAATCCGTGAAACTCTTGCAAATTGTAAAACCGAGTGTGCGCGGCGCTAAAGCGAGAGCCGCATTTTGAAAACGACCCGCCCTCCATCTGTGAACATGTTGCCACTTGTTTTTATGCTTCAGAGTAATACATGGTGAGGAAGTCTCAGGCGAAACGCTTGGCCCGCCCTAAAAAGTGGCCTCGGGGTGCGACAGGGAGAAGTTGTTTAGACGTAAAAGGAATAGGTGAGGAGGAGGAAGAGGAGGAGGAGGAGGAGGAGGAGGAGGAGGAGGAACATGAGGTGTTAGACCGTTGCCATGCGACTGAATGAGGAGCACAGGTGCGCATCTCTCAGTCAGGTGTTAGCGTTACCGTTGGAATTTCGCTCAAGTTCTCCGCCGTGTATTGTGCATTGCGCCTTGCTGTTGATACGCATCACTCCCCACCGTCGCCGTACAATGCCTTCTCAGGATCTAGCATGGTAACGGAGCGAGGTTACTGGCGGCCGTGGCAGCAGCGTCAGCAGCACCCGCTCATCCAGGAGACCCGCTCCTGGAGGTAAACGCTCCTCGAGACCGAGACCATTGGTTTAACCTAGACCCAGCGAGGTTCAGTGAATTATGTGAGGTCGCGAACTACGTGGGTGAGTACAGTTATGGAGAGGTGGCGCTGGGAGCTAACCGTGAAGGGATGACAGAATTCATAGAGAGACAGACCGCAGCTGTAGGCAGGACCTTCACCAACGAGGAGGGGTACGAACTGTTACCAATGACCCAAACAATGAATTCCTTGCTCGCTATTCTCGTGAACCGCAACATGTACGCAAAAGGAGATGCCAATACACTGCAGTCAAGATTCAGAATCTAGAGGACCAAACGAGCGTGCAGAAAAAACACGATGGAACAGGTCACTGAGATGACCGAATCAGTCGCAAACGAAAAACAGCAAATCGGGAGGACACCAACAGCACGTTGGCGAATACAAAGTCAAACAGCA